TATTACAGTATTTATATGTTAAGAAATATTTTTAAGCTAAAAAAATAAATTTAAACAAATTTACATTATAGTAGGTTTATTAATATAACTTAAATATAAAATTTTTGCTCTCAATTTCAATCTGTTTTACAGTTTTATCAAAATGAATATTCCTAGAAAACACTTGATATGGGTGTATAATTTCTAAGAGTGCAAAAGAGTTTTTAAAATCAAGATTATTAAAAAAGTAACGCAAATCATCTAAAATTAACTCATTTTCATAATTTGGATTTAATATTATCCAAATTTTAATCTCTTTAATATATTTAGGTAAAGATTTAGCCAGATTTTTTGAATAATGACTCAATTTCATATTCATTAAATTAATTTCAAAATAATTCTGATAAAGTATCAAATGTTGTAAATTCAGAACCCAGAGAATTTCTAAGTAATTTAAACAACTTGAAAATCTGATAATCGAAAAATCTATAATGCTATGACATCTTTCATATATTGTTTTAAAAATTTGTTCGAGTGAATCTCTATAATGTGGACCTATTATATTAAAGATTTTTAAACTTGAACTGCAAATATTGAGAAGTGCAAGAGTAAGTGCTTTTGAGTTATGAATTATTAGTTGTTAAAGAGGAATTTAATGAATTATTGAATCAAATTGTTTATCTTCACTTTTATCAAAGTTACAATCACGTATAATTAAACTTGAAAGAAATGGAAATTTGATTAAATAATTAATAAAAGTAATTTGATGAAAATCAATTAGATCAAATTCTAGATGTAATATAGAACGTGCTTGATGTTGAAGGGAATTTAAAATATGTATATTAAATATATTTTTAATTGAAAAAGATTTTAGCCCATTTTGTGTTTTGATCAATGTTGTAAGATCATTATATAAATTTGAATAAATATATGATAAATTTACAAATTTTATATGTTGAATTTTTGTAGATTTATTAACTAACAGTTGAAAAAGAAATTTAAAAATCATATCTATTATATTTTTTTTCATATTATTTTGTGACTTTTTATGAAAAATTTGCCAAAATTTGATTACAGAATCGATAAAGCTATCAATATCAAGATATTTTAAATATGATGAGTATGATAATAAAGATGCAAGTGGTAAAATTTTAAAATTTTTTTTAATAACTTTTTTAGCTTCAAAAGACATTTCTTGAATGTAGGATTTAATAACAAGATATGTCTTTGAAAGCTTATTTAAAGAAGGGGCATGCTATAAAATCGGAGATGCTTCACAAAACCATTCAGAATTTACTTGAGTACAAGAATTAAGTGTTCTATAATTGTATTCTAGATTTTCAAATATTTCTTTTAATACAAGTGAGGGTAACATTTGGATCTAAAATATCTATAAACAATTATTATATAAAATTGAGATTATTTATAAAATTTAAAAAACATTCGGCATTATATTCAATGAAATAAATAATTGTATTTTGAATATTTGGCTTGTGAATTAAAATCTTTCAATTATATCAATACGCATAAATTAAAGTTAGTCAAATTTTCAAGAATTTTTTAAATAACGCCTCAGGGCATTATTTCACACAAATACAGTATTGTTTAAACATTTAATTATTAATTTAATATAGATAATTCTGAATTAAATTTTATAATTCAAATTTCAAATTTCAATATTTTATTTAAACTTGTAAGGATCTTCTTTTTTGATAGCAATATAATAAAGCTTTTGGATTAGTACTAAATTAGTGCCATCTCTCAGAATTTTAAATACATCAAACTTTTTTAGTAATATCAAATAGTAATTGAAAATAAAAATG